CTTTGGCGAGTATTACCCCACCAGTCCTCAGCTTCCTCTTCCAGCATATGAGTGCCAAACTGCACCCTCTGCGCATCCGAGCAATTCATGACCCGAAAGATCTTCTTAATTGCTTTCAGCCAAACTCGCGCTTTGTCAGATTCGTGAGTTCCCTTGAAAATCGGTGGATTGTTCCTTTGGAATCTTCCCAAATCACGACACTCATCATCAGCGTTATTTCTAACATTCACATTGGCATGAGGATTCTGCCCAATCGCTCCAGCCAACCTCGTTAATGCCTCAGCAATCGCTCCGTCATTCCTGCCTGCAACCATTGTTCTTGATTCCCATAACAAATCCTTGTTAGAACAACCATATGGATAATGCTACACATATATACCAAATGCATAAGGGAATGAACACGTTAACAACTTGGTCAACAGACCGACCTGCTCTGATACCACTTAATGTAACACCCCCTTCTATACCCTCAAATAAATAATAAATCACATAAGCACATAATAAATTTCATAAGAGTAAATTTGAAACATGGTATAAAAGAAGTATGCCACATCATTCACCAAAATAACATACAACACCTGCTCTATAAAAGACATGCAACAGTGGGGTAGTTCAACAGAGGAACTTAGTCCTTACACCCACATCTCAATATTTTAAAATTAAAGCGGAAGATTAAAACATTTGAATAATTTACAACATGTTTTCATATAAATACATAATTCAGTTTAGTTCACAATATCATTCATGTTTTACAAAACATTTACCCTCAAATACATATACAAAATGTATCCCAAAAGAATACTATACAAGCCTAACTACCCGGTGCCACATTTCAGAGCATAACCGACCAAAAGAATGAAGCTATACTTCACAAAAGACCTCCAACAAAGCTAATTTGCAATGCCTCATAGAGCATTATAAAACAGCAGAAGGGTGAGAAACATTATCATAATAATCCATGCATATAACTCTATATACATACACAAGTATAAAACACATACATTCCATATTTCTCACCACAATTCATTTTAATCATCATATACATCACAACATATGTACAGACAAATATGGATAATTACCAAGCGCATTTCATCATGCATACATCCATAATTCTCAATTCAATACTTCACATACGAGTATACTTTCATACAACAATACACATTAATCATGTGACTCAATGCAACTCATGCCATGTGTTACCAACACTTGTTATCATTTTTTGGGTTTTACACTTAAATCGGGTCCACCCTTCTAGACCGATAACAACAAAAGCTCATTCCCTAAGCTTTCAAACCCACCCTTCTAGGTTTGGGACAAGTCACTAGTCTCCACAAAACTAGCAAACATTGCCTCTTGACTAAATGATGCATATGCAATCAACCACCAAATGCACTTAAGACCATTCTCGCATCTTAATCCCATGTATTCAAATAATTCATCACTCAAGAATTATAACATGATTGCACACACAACATATTCATATTCAATATCATCAATATATTACCAAGCAATGCACACATATCCGCAATATGTTCCCATGCATTCTCAACACAACACCACATACCAACAATATGCATCCACCACATAGTGCTCACGGCAACAAATTCAATAACATTCATCATGCATTTTAATCAATTTAGACAATGCATTATATTTGTCAAAAGACCACATTTCATAATCAATTCCACAATCTAGGATTCACTCCATACGACTACCCACAACATATATTTCACAATATACAATTACTCATTTCCAACAAGGATTGAACACAATCGAACAAAGAAATCAACATGGAATGGAATCACAAGAAAACCAAATGTTGTCACGCTCGCTGGCTTGCTCGCCTAGTGAGTCCCTAGCAAATACTCGCTATCTGTTCGCCTAGCGAACAAGCTCGCGAAGGCAAACAGAAGCTACTGACTTTGCTCGCCACCTACTCGCTGCAGCGAGGCCCTAGCGAATCCTTTGCCACCTCACTTGCTACCAGCGAACCAGATCAAATGCATTCTGCCAAAGTCTGGGACCTCTCGCTAACTTGTTCGCCCAACAAGTTGCTAGCAAATGTTCGTGACCTGTTCGCCTAGCGAAGTTGCTAGCGAACGTCTGCGAACTCAGAATTCCTCATTGTCATCAAGTCCTCAACTCTTCACAAAACCGACCGATTCTCACCAAACCAGTTCCATAGCCTTAGTCTAACCTCCCTCGACTAAATTATACCACTTATTCTCATTTTCGACCGTTAAAACTCGATTTCTATCGATTAAATCCACTTTGCCCTAAAATGGAAGTTGTAGAAAAACATCCAACAATCTAACCCAAGCATACATAATCATATACATTGACAAGATAATGATATTTCACATCCTTACCTCGATTAAATCGATGCTTGAGAGTTGTTCTTGAGCTTTTCCAACTTTTCCTTCTTCTCCTTCTCTTTTCTCCCCTTTCTCCTTCTTTCTACTTCTTTCTCTATTCTTTCTCTTATGTTTCCTTTTCTTTTCACTTTTCCTTTACAAGTCTTTCCATTCTATTTCATTCCGTAAATTCTCCTCTCAAATATCTACCAATAAGTCCAATAATTATAATCATCCAAATAAATCAATTAATTAACATGAATAATTAATTATTGAAAAATTGGGTTGTTACATCGTGCTCCAGCGTGACAATGTGTTTGTTCTGCCAGAACAACATCTCGTTTGTCTGGTTGATGGTCACGAAGAGGGAGACTATCATCGGGTCCGTGTTGGCCAGAGTGGAGATGGGCTGGAATACCGCCGGGCTCCTTTCCCGAGGGACGACACGGTGCGGTGCGTCTTTGGAGGATGGGGAGGCAGTCTGGCCTTCCCTAACGTCGGTCTCGCGGAGTTGAGATGTCCCCACCTGGCTGTCACCGTTGGTGACGGGGACGGGGGCGGGGTTGTGAACAACGTCGTCATGGCGTGGGCTAGTCATGATCCTGAAGTTTTGAGAGATGAAGCTTTGGTTCTCTTATCGAGGAACGGGGAAGCTTAGATTCCCAAAGACGACGCCACTGATCTGACCTGATCAAAAGGAAGTCAGTGACCTGCCACACGCCGTTGATCAGCCACCTGTTCAATGGAGGTATGTAAGAGGAGGAGGATGTACCTACAAGATACTCTGATGCCAAAGTGAGAGAATGGAGCAGAATGAGAGCAAGAAAGAAGGTTTAGAATAGAATACCCGACCCTCTTGTGAAAGAGGGTATTTATAGAGAGACCCTAACGCAGAGCCAACGGTCAATTGCGTTGGGCTGGATGGTCAGGCCCAACCCAAGTGACTGCTAGGGCTTACGTGGCATAGTGAAGACCAGGACATGGTCTTCGCCTTTGATCAACTGTCCCATGATCTCCGGAAGGTGGGTTGACCATCTCTTTCAGAGGTGGGTAGTTGGCTGATGACGTGCCCCCACGGAGAGGGTACATGGAGAACGTGTGGAGGACACGTTGTTCTGCCCGACGGGGAGAAGGCTCTTGCCCGACGGTCGAGGTGCTCTGCTTGGCGAGGGCAGTGTCTGGTCGACAGAGGTCCTGTGTTTGACGTCGCCCTGTTGGGCTGGTTTGGGGCCTTCTTCATATACAATTGGGCTGGGCCTGTCTGGACAAATCTGGGCCCAGTCCAGAACAATAATTATTTTATTTTGAGAGGGAGATAGTAAAAGTTTTGTATTTGGGATTAATTACAAAATTTAACAATTACAAGTTTATTTAAAGTGAGAAGTATGGGAGTGTGGATATGAATTTTGGATTTATAAATGATAAAATAAATTGAATTAAAATTAACAAAGATTAAAAAACGATTATGACTTTCAAATTCCATTAATATGGTATTATAGGGTCCTGAAATTGATTATTTAGAATTATGATAAATTAACAAAATCAAAATGAAAAGATTTGGGCATAATCTCTTTTATCTAACATAAATTCTTAATGTTGGATCAATGTTATCAAAAATCTTATTGATAATTAGTTGTAGAAATAACATTAATATTGAATATCACGTGAATTTCTAGAGAGAAGACGTGCTTTCTTTCTTTTACTGTCTTATCGTATTCTTTTGCCCTCTCTCCGTTCTAGGTTTGTGGTGGTTTTTTTATCTCCAGATCTCTGGATCTTCTCAACCCACCGTAGGATTGAGTTCCTTCTCATATCTGGTTTTATTGTGTTTCTCAAAAACATCTTGAAGGATGGAAAAATGGAAATAAATTACATTATCAAAGGAAGAATAAGAAGGGGTAGTATCGGATGAGGAAGATATCTTTGAAGATGAATCTTTCTAAAGAACTCTTGCTGGGAAATTATGGACAGAAAGCAATTTCAACACTAGAGCTTTCAAGACGACAATGTTAAACACCTGGAAGTTGAAACACATTGTGGAAATTCAATATCTGAGCAAAAACTTGTTCCTCTTCAAGTTCAGTTTAAGACGAGATCTGAAGCATGTTCTCATGACAGGCCCATGGAGCTTTGATAGAGCACTATTGATCTTGAGCTGTATCTCCAGCGAAGAATAACCGTCGGACCTAAACATGCATTATAGCCCCTTCTGGGTTAGAATATATGAGTTGTCCCTTATTCTCATATATGAAAAAATGGCTAGAAAATTAGGTAATATTATTGGTACCTTTGAAGAAATGGATGTTAAGGAAGCACATCAGAATGGTAGGTCTTTGCGCATTAAAGTCACCATTAATCTTAAGGAGCCGCTGAAGCGTGGAACTATGGTGAAGTTTAAGGAAAAAAACCTAAGAGTTCACTTTAAGTACGAAAGATTACCGACATTCTGTTTCGTGTGTGGAAGAATGGGTCACCAAATTAAAGATTGTGAGGCGGTAGAGGATCTGAATGAGGAAGGGTTTGAGGAACTTGAAGAACATGATTTATCCTTTGGGAAGTGGCTTTGAGCGCCTCCTCTTCCTAAGCTGATGGATGATACTAAAAAGAAAGACTCGAGTTCAAGTCTTTGTAGCAGAGATCTCTTAAATGTCTCTTCTAGTCAAAGTTGCTGTGAAACAAAAGAGAAAGGAAAAAGGTGAGGATCCTGAGGTTCAACAGGATAACTTGATCTTAAAACATCAGGAAGGAAGCTCTGTGCGAGGAGAGAAGGTTACTTCACACAACATGGATGTAGAAACTGTTGCTGAATCACTTGGAGCAGTTATTCTATCAATAGAGAAGGTCCCTCAAAAGGCTATTGTTAACAAGGAAGGGGCGCAAAATAGGAAATGGACAAGAAGGAAGACTACAAAGGAAGTGAAATCTGGTAGTGGAAAGACTGTTAAACCAAAGCTCGTGAAGCGACAACTTGTGGATGTTATGATAACAGAGGGTCCTATTGAAAAAGGTATTCTTGGAGAAAAGAAAAGGAAACAAACTGCAACTGTTAGCGAAGGTCACAACTTGTTAACAGAGGTGGTGTTGGATGACCAACACCGCCTTCCCCAATGAAAATAATCAGTTGGAACTGCAGGGGTCTAGGGAGCCCCCGTGTATTCGAGCCCTAGCTTGGCTCCTTCGTGTTGAAAATCCCCAGCTTGTCTTCCTGATGGAGACTAAGCTCAAGAAAGAAGAAATGCTGACCCTTAAAAGGAAATTTAGGTTCAAGTTTGATGTGTCTATTGATTTTAGGGGTTCGGGGAGAGATAGAGCTGGAGGGATCTGCTTATGGTGGAACAATCCTACAAAAGTTCATATTATGTCCTATTCTCAGAATCATATTGCTGGAAGCTGCCAACAGGAAGATGACGAAAGCCATTGGTCTTTCGCAGGGATTTATGATTATTCAGAGGAGACAAATAAAAAAGAAACCTGGAGATTAGTGCAGGCTTTGTGTGAGAAAGGAGGGGAGCAAATGATTTTATTTGGCGACTTTAACGATACTCTCCATGAAACTGATAAACTTAAAGGTATTAGAAGTAATTCATATTTAGTTGTACTATTACTTAGCCCCTAAGTTTGTTAGAGGGTATTTTAGTATTTTATCTTATTCTAGTAACCCTAGTTTTAGCTTATAAATAGGGTTGCAATCATTGTAATGTTAAGTGAGTTGTGTAGCCGTCATTCTCCTTAATAGAATATTTCCTCTGTTCATCATTTATTCACCTTTGCACCAACAATTGGTATCTAGAGCTCCGGTTCGGATTCATTTGGAAACACGGGAAACACGAGTGAACATGAGGCCTTGTGGGTTTGATTTTGTTTCTTAGATTCATGTTGAATCTTGAACAAAATCTGATCAGAATTTTAATTCTGTGGGTTGGGAAACACTGTGTGAGAAATCTGAGTGTACTGTGCAAGGTTGAAGATGAACGGAAACGGCAACATGAACACCAAACTTCCAGTATTTGACGGTAAAAACTGGAATCGTTGGATGATCCAAATGCGTGTACTATTCGGTGCTCAAGATGTTACAGATCTTATCACTGATGGTTATGTTCCGGTAGCAGCAGATGCGACGGATGAACAGAAAAACACGCAGAAGGAAGTAAGGAAGAAGGATCAGAAAGCATTGTTCTTCATTCATAAATGTGTGGATGTAAATGTGTTTGAGAAGATTGCAGATTCAACGACAACAAAGGCTGCGTGGGACACACTGGTGAGATGTTATGGTGGTGGCGCATCAGTGAAGAAGGTGAAGCTTCAGTCCTTGAGAAAGCAATATGAGAATCTCAACATGAAGAATAATGAGAAAGTCTCTGAATACATCTCTAGAATGATTCTGATCACTAATGAGATGAAGGTGTGTGGAGAAACTCTTTCTGAAGAAGCAATCATGGAGAAAGTATTGAGATCCCTTACCTCTCAATTTGATTACATTGTGGTAGCAATAGAACATTCCAAAGATCTGAGCACCATGAGAATTGAAGAGCTGCAGAGCAGTCTAGAAGCGCAAGAGTTGCGTTTGACTAAGAGAACTTCTGAAAAGGAAGTAGAGCAGCAAGCTCTGAAAGTAACTTCTAATAGGAGGTATCAGAAGCAGTTAGAAGCCAGGAGAAGATCTGATGGTGGTCAGAAGTCAGAAAGCTCAACCTCTGATAGACAAAAGAATGCTCAGAAGGGAAAAGAGAAGTATGACAAGAAGAAAATCCAATGTTACTGTTGTAAGAAGTTGGTCACTTTGCTAGAGATTGTTGGTCAAACAAGGAGAGAAAATTAGAAGAAGCAAATATAGCCAGAAGTTCTGATGATGAATCTGTACTATTGATGGCCTTTGAATCTGATGATATGGATCTGATAGACTGGTGGTATATGGACACTGGCTGTTCAATTCATCTTACTGGAAACAAGAAATGGTTGGTTGACTTTGACTCTGAAAAGAGAACAAATATCATATGTGCTGATGACAAATATCTTAATGCAGAAGGTATGGGAAATGCCAGAGTGATTATGAACAATGGGAAAACAACATTGATTCAGAACGTGTGGTATGTACCTGGCATCAGAAGCAATCTGATGAGTATGGGACAATTAATTGAGAAAGGTTTTTCAGTTACCATGAAGGACAATCTTCTGAAGCTGTATGACTGCAATCAGAAGTTGATTATGGAGTCAGAACAGGGAAGGAATAGAACATTCAAGGTGAATGTCAGAACTGCAGACTCAGAATGTCTTAGTGCAACAAGTGCTGAGAAGGAGAGTGAGCTGTGGCACAGAAGATTCGGTCATTTGAATTTCAGAAGCTTAAAACATCTGAATTCAAAGAAGTTGGTACATGGAATTCCTGTAATTAAGAAGCCTGAAAGGTCATGCAAAGTTTGCATGGAAGGAAAACAACCACGATTGCCATTTGCGTCAGAACCTGCTCCAAGAGCAAAACATGCCTTGGGAGTTGTACATTCTGATGTGTGTGGTCCATTTCCAGTAGCATCGGTTGGAGGGAATAAATACTTTGTGTTGTTTGTTGATGAATTCACAAGAATGACATGGGTATCCCTTATTAAGTTTAAACACGAGGTGTTTGATGAATTCAAGAATTTCAGAATAAAGGCTGAGAGTCAGAGTGGTCAGAAGTTGAAGATTCTTAGAACTGACGGTGGAGGTTACTGCTCCTTATACTCCTCAACACAATGGTCTTGCTAAAAGAAGAAACCGCACTTTGCTTGATATGGTGAGAAGCATGCTAAAGGAGAAGAAGCTTCCTCAGAAGCTCTGGGGAGAAGCTGTTGCCAACGTATGTACTCAACCGATGTCCTACGAAGAAGTTGAAGGAAATAGTTCCAATACAGAAGTGGACTGGAGATAAGCAAAGTGTTAGTCATCTAAAGGTGTTTGGTTCTGTTTGCTATAAACATGTTCCATAAGCCAGAAGACAGAAGCTGGATGATAGAAGCAAAGTGATGATTCTGATAGGGTACCTGTAGCACCCTAATTTTTGACCTCAAAATCCCGCCTCCATCGTGCATTTTTTCTTTGTGTATTGTCTTTTACTGTTGTACACATGTTTATTACGGCTGACCAGTTTGTACAGGTCAACATAGATCCTTACAGTCAAGTACTTCAAGGTGTGACCATTGGATTATAAAGATCCTGGGATTATTCTATTGGTCGTCTCCTCAAAGCTTTTTTAGGAGTTTCATTGTTTGCCCCGGAGGGTATGGTTCGATATCAAGTTACATCATTATTTTTCTGATTTCACAAGGATGAGTCATCATTATGAGAGAGAGTTTGGTTCTGTTGATGAGTTAATACAGAAAGTATTGGATACGAATCACGAATGAGGTTTGGCTAATATATTGTCAAGGCAAAGTTTAAACTTTAAGTTGCATTGGAGTTCATCTAAAGGTGCACAATTCGTGAGTTTCAGTAAAGACCACAGAAAGTTCATTTTACAGGCTAAAGTTCAAGATTCATGTTTGGTTAATAAATTTGGATTAAATGTCGAAATCTAGCTCAAATTCAATACATGTTTTCCTGATAGCAAAATAGCCTTGTGTTCACCGAGTTTCCAAGATTAAGCCAAGCATAAGAAGGTTTAGGAGAGTAACTTGGATTTAAGGGCTTGCACCATTTTCAATCACCTTGAGTTCTATTTAAAACATACCAATGTTGAAATTTATAAGAAGAGTTGTAATTCAAGCATAATTATGGGAACTTCAGACACTAACATTCAAAGGTGCATCAATTGATCTCAAGACTCATGTTTATTCATGAAGGTTAAATTGGGATTACTTCCCAAAGGCGTATACTAGGATGGACTCTATTGGGCAGTCCACTACATGTCATAACGTTTTTACTTTCGAAGACTCCAGGCACCTTTCTAAAATTCAAAAACGAGCACCCAATGCACATGGGATTTAATTGTAGAAGTCTTTGAATTCAAATTAAGTCGAAGCATTCGAAACACGCCAAAAGGTTTACAAAATCCATCACAAGGCCATATATGAATTCATAATAATATTATCCATTAACCTTAATTCAAGAGTGTTACAAGGAGACGCTTTGTTCAGAATACAAGAAAGGATGCTTCATTACGACTACTCACACCAGAACTGGGTACAACATGAGCAATAGTTTCACGACTAGAATAACACGGGATTGGCCTCCATCATTGCTTGATTCTTGGCTGGGTTCTTTGCTGCCTTTTGTCTAATCACTGTAACATTTTTCGCCATGGAGATTGTAGGATGGACGAAACACTTCCGACAACAACAGGACCATCAAGCTTATGTCCCTATGCAACCGGAAACAATCTGCGTCATCAAGTTAATCAGACAGGAAGCCATAAAACATCTCACATAAATCTAAGGGTAACAATAGTCATCAAATGTTACCTTATTTTTGAAAGAATTTATAAGTTAAGGATTATTCATAATGAAGGAAATGCCTAAGACCGGAAATCAAGAGTTGGTTTGCTAATGGGCATAAGAGAGAAAGCTCGGTCTGACTAAACTTCTTGATGCTGCTGAAGACATTGTAGCTATATCGGTGCTTTGTTGTTACTTTCCTCTTGTCTCCAGAAGCTACGACCACCATGAAGTCTCTTCCGGATCAATACCTACCGTAACCCACTTCCTTTTGCGTTGCACTCATATCTCGCTGTGATCCTGCAAGAAAGTAAAGCACAAGATTATCATCATTCCTTGAAGGAACATGAAGGGCAATATCAGCACAAATATTAGAGGACAAGTGGTGATGCGTTTTCTACCAAATTCTGCTTAGTTTACTGCTGCGACTTTCCGCACCCTGTTATCGCTGCTTCCTCCTTGTCCCGTTGTTTTTCCTGTAAGTGCCATTTCATACTATTAAAAGCCTACGGTAATCTTCAACATTGCACAGTAAAGTCGAAGGAAGCGACATCTTGAACATAGTACTGACACCCTTATGACTTGGATGCAACAACCGAGTTAGGTTTTGCTGCTAAATGTTTTGGTATGCATCTCATTAGAGTTACAACGAGTATCCCGCTATCAACCTTCAGTGCAGGAACGTATATCACAACAGCAGTGATC